CTGCCCTGTCAGTGAAGGCTCCAGCTGCCGGCAAAGAAAGGCCGCCTGTTTTTTTGCCAACCCCACGTGTGAGCACGGGCCTGTTCCAGTGCCCAGGAAAAAAAAATAAAAATCAAACAAAAACCACCCTCCCTCTATGCCAAGAGCCAAGATACAGCCTCGGGATTCAGCCTCCAGACAGGCTGAGAACCCTGTGGCTGATGGCTCCAGACAGTGCTGCGTGCTCTGCAGCTCGCAAGCAAGAACAAAACCCAGCCAGGCTCTGGAGCCCCGTGGCTTCCTGAGCTCCAGCTCCTCCCTGGGTTTGGCAAGGAAGTGGAAACAAAAAAAAAATCACCCCCACACTGCAAAGGTGTGGGGAATATCTTGGATCTGAGAGTCTTGGTTTCCTCCTTCAAGCATAAAACAAGCCCCAAGTAGGAAGATTTATTCGCACCGGCTTTTGTAAAACCCTGTGAAGTCAGTTCTAGGCCTGGTCCTGATCCCTTAAGACACCAGTAAAATAATTCACAGCTTCGTAGGGGATCTTGAAAACCACCTCAAAGTTCACTGCTGTTTCATCAGCACTCAGGGTGAAGAGCTCACTTCTATCGAGGAATAAGTATCAGTCGAGTAACCAAGAAAGGAAATGACAAACACTGAAGGGGGAGGAGACTAGGAAGAGCCTGCTCGCAGGTTTAAAAAGACAGAAATGGTTTTAATGTTGCCTAAAAAAATCAATCAACGGTGGGAACATCCCAGAAACACCAAAGGTTTGGTTTGGCACAAGGAAGCCTTGAAGAGACTGGATTTTGAGAGCAGCTACAGCCCCAGTTTTCCTGTCAGCCAAAGCCACGGCTCCCAGCAGCGCAGAGCTGGCTGCTTCCTCCTCACCACCACCAACCCTCCAGCAACTCCCCCAGGAGGTCCCAGCAACTCCCCCAGGAGGTCCCAGCCCCTTGGGGACATGGCCACGCCTGGATCATGATTTGGGTACTTGGAGCAGCGTCTGTGAAACGAAACGGCGCCGGGGTGAGCGAGGCCGGAGGGAGGATCTGAAGGTTCTGTACCTTTTTATTGTCCACCACTTTGTGGATGTAGATGGTTGCCTGGGTGTACTCCCTCAAGTCCCGCTGCTGTTGGCACAACAACCCTTCTCTGCACTCTGGACAGAGCTCTGGGGAGGGAAAAAAATCATAGAATCATAGAATGCATGGGGTTCAAAGGGACCTTGAAAAGTCACCCAGCCCAACCCCCCTGCAGTGCACAGGGACCTTCTGAACTAGATCAGGTTGCTCAGAGTCTTCTCAAGCCTGACCTTGAATGTCTCCACCACCTTCCTGCGTAACCTGTTCCAGTGATCCACCACCCTCATGGTAAAGAACTTCTTCCTGATCCAATCTACATCTCCCCTGCTCTAGTTTAAGGCCATTGCCCCTTGTCCCACCCCTCCCTGCCCTTGTCCCAAGTCCCTCCCCAGCTTTCTTGGAGCCTCTTCAGGCACTGGAAGGTGCTCTAAGGTCTCCCTGGAGCCTTCTCTTCTCCAGGCTGAACACCCCAACTCTCCCAGCCTGGCTCCAGAGCTGAGCTGCTCCAGCCCTCAGATCATTTTTGTGGCCCTTCTCTGAACTCATTCCAACAGGTCCATGTCCCACTGGTGTTGGTGGCTCCAGAACTGGACACAGTTCTCCAGGTGGGGTCTTAAGAGAGCAGAGCAGAGGGGGACAATCACCTCCCCTGACCTGCTGGCCAGGCTTCAAATGCATTCTTCAGATGCCTTTAATAGCTTTAGCTCCTTGGAGACACCTGCCCCATTCCTCTGCTCCCTAACCCGGCTCAGGTAACCAGGACACCTGCCAAGCTGGAGATCCCCTCAGGTCTGACCCTTTATCCATCTCCCAAGGAGTTGACACTGATTAGCAAAAGAACAAAAGCAGAGGCAGCAGCAGCAGATGCACTCACGGGGCTCAGAGCTGAACTGTGCACCCTCGGGGTCGGCCCCAGCACCTCGTGTTCGGGTGATCTTGATGACGTGATCCACCACGAAGAGTTTTTGAATCCTCTCCCACTCGTTGGGCCATATTAGAGCTATACTGTGCAAAGGAACAAGAACGTGCTTTGTGACATGGAGAAGCCAAGCCCTGAGCTCCTCAACAACCTCCTTCTTTGGGTCTGGGAATGAAAGCAAAGCTGCAAAACCAACCCACGACTCCAGCTGCACGGGAGGGCCCAGACGCCCAAGACAACAGGGGAACAGCAGCGTGTTATTAGTGCTGCTGCTCTGCTCCAGCCACGCCTGAGGGAGGATGGAGGAGGAGGAGTGGAAGATCTGCTACTTTTAGTTCTGCATGGCTGCAGAAGCAAAGCTAAGGAGGATGAACTCCAACGTCCTGCACTCCCAGGGCAAGTCTGACGGAAAGCACATCGTGAGGAAGCCGGATGTTTCTACGCCCCGGTCAAATCCAGGGGAGTTTATTGTTAGGAACTAGCCAAGCTTAAGTAAGTTCTCTTTTTTCCCTCACCCAGCATCCTTAGACAATTTAGGTCTTGCCTTAGATGAAGCTAAAGTGGGTTTGAGAAAGA